ATGAGGATTGAGTTGTGATTTTTTAAACCCGTTAAAATACGAGCTTAAATGGGTCAACCCGCATGGGTCGCGGATTGAGTGTGGGTTAGCTCGCGGGTCAAGTAGATATAATTAGTACTCACTCGTCTAACTAAATGTATTTTTTTACCATTTTTTACAGTCATATTAAAAAATTATAATAAAACTAATCAAATATTAATATAAGAATATATTTTAATTTTTTATAAATTACAAACATATCATTATAAATAAGTTAAGACGAATAAAATAAAATTTATATTATCATTAGTTTAAATAAATTATCAATATTATCTACACGTTATTTTTCTTCTCTTACTATGTTATGCATGACATTGTTATTTGTTTCGATTTTTCATCATTTGTTTTGTTCGTCTTCTATTTTATTATTTTATAATTTTACTAATTCATAAAATTAATTATGATTTATTTGTAAATAAAATATTTCTTATTATTAATTTTTTAAATACACCAATTAATAATATTTAGAATTGAGAATTTTTATATTTGTTATTTATTTTAAAATATTTATTATTTAAATGCTACAATAAAACTATTTTTAACTATTTTTAAATTTTACGAAAATATTTATAATATTAATATTCTTTTAATATTTTTAAAAATCTGGTGGGCTAGCCCGAGAGGAATTAGATATAGTGTAAAGAAGGAGTTTGGGAAAGTTTCTCTTAAGAAGAGGAAAAACCATCCAAGAGATCGACGGAGAGGGAGAGAGAGAAGAGCGCCGAGAGGAATTTCGAGTGGTGAGTTTCCGGTGACAAATTGTTATATGATTTTTATAAATACTATAAAAATAAATAATTGATCAATTATTTATTTATTTATTTTATTAAAAAAATTATTTAAGATATTATACATTTTTTATTTGTATAAAACTTGCGTAATTTAGGTCTTTATTTAGAACCAAATATCAGTTTTGGACAATAAGGGTGTTTCGTGCAAATTGTACATTAACACAAGGGGTTTTCACACAATAAATAAAACATAAGACATTTTGTGTATTTTTACTAAAATACAAGGGAATGTTATATAATTTAGCCTAAATAATATAGTAAAAAGGTAAGTAGTAGACTAATCTTTGATTCATTGGTCGTGGGTGTCAAGAGCATTGTTCGCCAGTCATAAAAAAATAATTTCAACTGATCAATGAAATAATAGATCAGTAATTGGATATTAGTTTATCTTTCCATGATTGCCTATAGACCAAGGAAGTTATTTTAGATAGCATGTTAATTTATCGCGATCGGCCATTGAATGTCATTTTCATTGCCACTTCATTGCATTCTGTATATCATATATTTTCATGTTGCATAATCGCCCTACTTCTATATTTTCATGCATAATATTGGGAAAATGGTGAGAGTTTTTTTCTGATATTATTTGCACTAGCAAGTTATCAATTTATTCATTACTAGCTTTTCACAATAAATTTATATTCTAGCCAACTTATTTTTATCTTTGTTCGCAACAACTCATTGATTATTTTGCATTTACAACATTTCATATTCGCACTATTTCATGAGTTCGGACACTCACTAGTCAAAGGGTTTTTTCTTTTATTTTTTTAAAATTTGACGAAGTTTTTTAAGTTACTACATGCACATGCACGCAGCTCTTATTTCTCATATTATATTTATATCGTTTAGTCAAAATCTTTAAACAAACTTTATATTTATTTTTACTTCATCGGTGTCCTTGTTTGTCACAATGATGACATTCAAGATGTTTGTCATTCGTCTTTAATTTACCTTTTCCTTGGCTCTTTTCTCCATGTCCATAATCTCGGCCTATATGCCGACTTCTTCCCTTATGATTAGTAACTAAGATCTCTGAATGAGCAGCTGTGATGTTAAGTGTTTTTCTCCTCACCTCTTCATTGAAAACAACACTTTGATAAACTCCAAAGTGACATTTCTATCAAGGGTAGAATTAGTTAAAGAGACTATAAAACATTCCCACAAATCTTGAAGAGTATTAGTTAACCATATACTAAGTACCTTATCATTAAAAAATCCACTCCCATTCCTAATAACTAATTGAAGCATCTTTCAAACTCATTTATCTTGTCTGAAATGGACTTGTTGTCGTGATAATTGAACCATATAGCCTACTTGAGTATAAATGGCTCATTGTTTCCTATTTTCGAAGCATATAAGTTTTCTAGATTGTCCCATAATCTTCTAGCACTGGTCTCATTTACAATGTGATTTAAAATATTTTCATTTACCTATTGCTTTATGCAGCCACATACTTGTCGATGTTCTCATTCTCATTCTTCATCAGTTTTACCTTCAAGCTTTGTTGTAGCAAACATTGGACCGTACAATTTTTTACATCTAGAAGATCGGTTGCCTTTTATTTCCAAACATTATAATTTGTTCTATCTAAATAAACTATCTTTTGCAAGGACACCTTCATCCTTCAATGATGAATAACAATCTCAAACAACTAATCATTGATTATCACTTTGTGTTGGGAGAACACTTGGTTAAGAAGAAAATCCAAACAAATCGGAGGATAATATAGCCCTTGTCAAGACATAATAGGATATGGTGTTTAGTCATGCTCATCCTAGGTGACAAAAATCTTACAGAGCTAAGTGTGGTAACATCTAAGTAGGGTATCCTCTATTGTTCCATCAAAACATCTTCACGAAATTTGATTGTTTTTTTCACTAAATTGATGAGAAATGATAAATAACAATAAAAAATAGAAATAATTATACAGGACATAAAAAATTTAATGGGAAAAACACTTTCAATATGAAGAATAAAAATCACATGGTCTATCACCCGATCTATGATAAAAGACCATTATATCAAAAATATTCATACAATCAAAGATAAACACAACTTCACTACAATTACATGCTTAAATTTTGTGCCTAGAATCAAATCAATATCAACAAGATCTAATGTGATTATGATTATTCAGTCAAAGTTCAGGCAAATCTAAAAAAATAAAAACATAATAAAAATGCAGCCATCATTTATCAACAATAAGTTTAATTTAGTTTAGTTTAGTGTTACATCTGGAGAATCAAAAGTCATGCCCAACAAAATAAACGACTTGATTTATTTGTTGCGAGTGTTGAAGAGAACGACTTGCATGATTTTTAATAATGACTTCAAAAATGAATCATCAGTGAGATAATCAAGAATTTAGTCCATTTTTCTGTGATTACCTCTAAACTAAACAAGTCATTGTTAACGCGAAACGACTAGAAAACAAGAATTTTATATTATCACTTTCACGTGACATTCTCTAGTATGAATTATATACATATAATGCGAACATAATCTAACTTCAATTACTCATCATCACTCTCTTTCAATCCAAAGCATTTACTCTATCACTCCACACATTGCTAAATACTTCACTATCACCACCACCACCACAATCTTGCAAATATCCATTCAAACCACAAAACCATCTCTCAATTCACTTCACTTTTCTTACTTCATGTCAGTTCCATTCTTTAACTCTTTACAACATTAAGTCTTTACATTCAATGCACTTAAATCTCAACTATGAATTCATAAACTCGCAATATTATTCAATTTAATGTTTCCCCCACATTGATACCATGAGCTCGACCCGGGACTTCCCAGTAAGCATGGGAAAATCTTATTATTTGATGAACACTTTTGAACCACAATGTAATACTTATCATCTACTCATCCACTTTATATCAGGATTCAAATCAAAAGTAAAAATAATTCTTTCAAAAACAAATCACCAATCCCCTTGTAGGATTCGGAGTGATCGAGTTGGAGCCTTGTCTTGATTACGTCAATAGGTTGTAAGCAACAAGTTTTGACTATGCCGCCTAGGGATCCATGCAATGCCTTCTTATACGGCGGAATTGATTTCAGTCCTCGAGTTCTAGCAATTCTTGAGTTGGATTAGAGTTCAATATTAGTGATTTGGTCCAACTAAGCATACGTAGTGAAGGTGGAGTAAGTTTACTATTTTATTTTGTTGATGTTTAGACAAACCATTAAGGAGATTTGTAATGTTTCTTTGTCTCTCATTGTTTGTCTAAAGTAAATCCTCTTTGTCTCATTGCTTGTCAAACCAAAAAACCCATAAGGCTTGTCCCGTAAGGGATGACCTGGTGGTGTAGGGGTTGGACTTGTGACCGTGAGGTCATGGGTTCAAATCTCCGACGTCTCAGGTCACCTGCCACACATGGTTCGCCTAGTGTGACTTTCTCGTCGGGCCTGGTTAGCAGGGTATTAGGTTCGACCGGAGGTTTACCCAATACTCACTTTCGGGTAGCGGCCGCGGTTCCCACGTCATTATAATAATTGTTTGGCTTTCTTGTTTTGTTGAGGGAGGTTGTGTGAAGTCGTGGGTTATGGGCTTTGGAATTGTTATTCTATTCTATTTTGTATTATCATGTTTGATAGTGAATTTTTTTTTTTGTTTGTTTGTGTCCGTCGATGTAGATCATTTAAGCCGAATCATGTATATATTCTTGTGTTAGTTTATTTTTTCGTTCTGTTTATTGTTGGAGTCCTACAAAATAATTTGTTTGCATCATATTTGTAACAATTTTTTTTTTTTTTTTTTTTCTTTTGGTTATGGTGAGAGTCTTAAATATTATAACAGTAAATTATTACATATGAAAAGAACAAAATTATCATGAATTAAAATGTCGCCACCTGCTGCATTATCGAGAAAGCATTCGTTAAATTTGAATATATTATATTTATTTTTTTATATATAAAATATCACAATAAATATTATTTTAATTTAAAATTTTACTATTTTTTAAAATATAACAAATTACAAAAAATACACAAAATACAATCAAATAAATAATAAAATACTATATAAATAGGGGTGGAGCCCATAAATTTTAAATAAAATCATTTTTTTTTAAATATATATTTGCATTATAATTAGCTCCACCCACGATAATATTATATATATATATATACTATACGACGATTATAATATTACACAGTGTAGTGTTGCTGGATCGTGTTGATATCCAATCCCTTGCGCTTCACTACGGAGTCCACGTGTCCCTTAAGGGTGTGCAGCTCTCTCAGCCTGCATCGTTTTTCTTGTAATTAAGAAAAAACAAATACAAATTAAAACAAATTTTATTCGTTACATAAATGTCATCAATATTAATTATCCTATGCATTCACAAAATTCTGCTTTGTTTACATAGATGTTTTTTTTTTTTAAAAGTTTTTGGAATTTTGAAAGTTTAAGAAAAATAAAAAATTAGTATTTAATGTGATATTTTTTTAAAAATAAATAATGCGAAAATAGGTAAAAGTAAACAAAGCCCTAATCATTTAATTAGTGATACTATTATTACTTAAGATGTACGGATGTGTGTATATATTACCTTGCAGCCTCAGCCCTCCTCCTTGCCTGCTCGGCGATTTCAGACAACTCCCGGAAGTTCCTGTCTTGGAAGAGCGCCGCCGTGTCGGGATTTTGTAGGCCGTGGAGGGTGCGTTGTGCTTGTGCCCATTGTGCTTCTCTCTCTTTCTTTCCGTAGTCCTTTTTTGTCGTGAAGGCCGTCTGTTAAATGAATTTGTTAGATGATGTATAAACATCACTTAACGAAACTTGCACGTGAAAAACGACAAACGGGGGACGGTGGGACTCGAAACCTAAGACTCTGATATCATGTTAGATGATGTAAATGACCGTTTCACGTGGTTGGATTGATCGAAATGATCACCTCACCTAAAAACTTAAGCTGTTACGGATACGTATAATTCATTTATTTATCTACAAATGGGAGTCCAGGCTAAATGTTAGCAAACGAAACTTGCACACAACAACAAACAGGCGGTTGGACTCAAAATCGAGACCTAAGGCTCAGATATCATGTTAGATGATATAAATGATCATCTCACATAAAAAAAACTTAGCCTTTTAGGTGAGTCAGTTATTAATTGATCGAAATGACCAGCTTACCTTTAAGCTTAAGCTGTTACGGATACATATTATTTATTTATTTATCTACAAACGAAAGTTCACCAACAGAATAGATTAATTATTAATTTGTCGGAGAATATTAATTTTCTTTGATAGTATTAGGTACCTTGCTTTGGATCATGGAGTCCCAAGCTTTGCCGCTGAGTACGAATCGGATGAGGAACTTAAGGATGTCGAGCGGGATGTAGGTGATGATGCTGTAGACCCAGATGACAGCTGCCCATCCCCAGCCGATGCCGCTCATTTTGGCGAATCCCCAGTGGGCATAGACAGCGATAAGCGTCGCAACCAGCTGGGCTATCAAGAAGGCACTCAGCAGCAACATCCCGGGCCTCTCCACAAACGACCAGCTTCGAGACCTCGTCACGAAGATCAGCGCTTGGCTTATGATGCTCACTTGCAGGTACAAAGCTGCATTCATCTCGTTGTGGTTGTCCGCGATTGGCCGAACCCCAAATTTTCTCTACAATTAATTATATATGTACAATTAGTCATTCAACAACAGAATTCATTTTATAGATCGATTGAATTTTGAGAATAGTAAAAAGTTAATAGAAAATTAGACTCGAAATAAATTTTGAAGTTTTAAAAAATTATAAGAATCTATAAAGAATTTAGTGTTATATTATGCGAAAAAATAAAATAAAATTTAATATGATGTTTTAAAAAAAAGTTACTTTTTATGAATAATGCAAAAGATTTTAAAAGAATTATAGCATTTGTTATGTTTTAAAAAATGGCAAAAGTAGTCTTAATCTAATAAAATTTAGAAATATGCATCTATATATTTCTTACATGGTTTAGAAATTGCACAAAATTTCTTTATTTTTAAAGATATTACATAGATTTCACTTTGACAAAATGTTTCTTAGTAGTGTTTTCCAAAATATGAGGAGCTTCACGTATTTTTCTAAAAAAAATTTTGTGCGATATTTTTTAAAACATAAAAATTGGTGCATTTTTCTAAAAGAAGTAATTGTCGATATAAATGAATAGCGTAAAAGCAAATTCGAGTATTGTTTTGTTACCGAGAAGAAGCCGGTGTCGTGAGCCAAGTGGAAGAAAATGACAGTCATGATAGCCAAGTAGGCGCCGAGGACGATGCCGGTGCTGAAGATCTCCCGGAGCTTCCACGAGTCGGGCATTGGAGACGGCTTGACCCGGTCCTTTGAGATGGTCATGATAGTTCCGTCGTTGAGGATGGCGATAATGAGGACCATAAAGGGCGAGAAGTCGAACTTCCAGATCAAGGCAATGAGCATGAACCCCAGCACGATACGTATCGTGATGGACACCGCGTAGATGGTGTAGTTTTTCATCCTTTGGAAGATAGACCGGCTTGTCAGAACGGCATGGACGATCACGCTTAGCCCCGGCTCTGTCAGAACAATGTCCGATGCGCCCCTGGCTGCATCCGTCGCATCCGCCACCGCAATGCCAATGTCTGCCTTTTTAAGCGCCGGCGCGTCGTTCACACCGTCGCCGGTCATGCCGCATATGTGCTTTCTCTCTTGTAACTTCTTCACGATCTCGTACTTGTGCTCTGGATATATATATATATATTATTTAATCATGTTGAAAAGCTATACTCCGTCTGTCACGAATGATATTATTTTTTATTTTTGGCTGTCTCCAAAAAAAAGTTTCATGAGATCCTCTATCCCAAAAATAAATTCCATCTCCCTATCTCCACACACATAATATATATATATATATAAATGTGTGTGTATGTATACACTATGTGTGTGGGGATAGGGGGATAGGGTGTGCTAACGGGAGAGATGATCCGATTTTAAAAAAATGATATCATTTTCTAATTTAGTAATTGTACTACATACCTAACATAATTTATATCTTTGTAATTTTCAATATATTATAGAAATGATATTACTTTTATATCACACAATCTAATAGGGGCATTTTTGTCTTTTTCATTATAAACCAATATAATACTGATATTAAAAAATCTACGTGCTAAAAGAAAATATTGTTCTTTTTGCGAGACGGAGGTAGTATAATATTTTTTTTATTGAGTTAAATTTTTAGGTAAGATGATCATTTAATATGTTGGCTAGGATGTTACCTGGGAAGACCCCGGCGAAGCCGTCTGCCTTTTCGATGAGCTCTTCAACCGGGATCGTGGCAACGGAGTCGTCCTTGCCTTGTCCGAGAAGGGAAGAAGATGGATACATATTGGTGCCCATGCCGAGTCGACGGCCCGTCTCTTTACCAATGGCGAGCTGATCGCCAGTGATCATCTTAACATTGACGCCGAGATCAAGAGCCTTTTGAATGGTCTCCGCGCTATCGTGCCTTGGAGGGTCGAACAAAGGCAACAAACCGGAAAACTCCCAAGGTCCACCGGCGCTGTCTTTTGATTTTTCCGGAACACTTTGGCGCGCAACGGCGAGGGAGCGAAGACCACGGTTGGCGTAATTGTCGATGACCTCATGCGCCCTCTTTAAATCGCTACCCTTGAGTTGGCAAAGCTCGATGATCTATTAAATTATACGAAAACATGAGAAAAGTTTGTCGTAAGACTCGAGTTAGTCATGTAGTCTCTGGATTTGCGGATTTACTTGCTCGGGAGCGCCCTTGCTACACCGATACCAATCTCCATTCGCGTCGTAGTAGGTAATCGCAGTGCGCTTGTCCACCGGGTTGAAGGGCAAGAAATGCACTTCGGTAATATTAGCTCTCGCCTACGTATAGGAAAACGAACCGATCGATAAAGATAACAATGGAAAGATGCGCTCTAGAGCGAATATATGGTCGACAATTGTTTGATACCTCCTTCGGATCACTAAGCATGCCAACAATGCAAGCGTCAATCGCGTCCTGATTCTCGACTCGTGAAGCTCGGGCCGCGAGTAGCATGAGGGTGTCCTTGTCCACGTTCTTGTCGAAAACCTCGACCAAGTTCTTGTCGACGGTTAGCTTGTTGAGCGTCAACGTCCCGGTCTTGTCGCTGCAGAGCACGTCCATGCCCGCCATTTCTTCGATGGCGGTCATGCGCTTAGTAATCGCGCCCTGCTGCGACAGGCGGTGGGAGCCGATGGCCATGGTGACGGACAGGACAGTCGGCATGGCGATCGGGATCCCGCCGATGAGCAGGACGAGGAGGTTGTCGATTCCGTCGCGGTATTTTCTATGCTGGATTGGATACATGACGATGATCTCGATGGCCATGCCTAAGGCGATGGAGCAGATGCAGAAGTTGCCGATGGCGGTGAGGACTTTCTGGAAGTGGCCGACGTTGTTTGTGCTGTCGACGAGATGGGCGGCCTTGCCGAAGAAGGTGTGGACGCCGGTGGCGATGACGACGGCGTCGATCTCGCCCTGCTTGCAGGTGGAGCCGGAGAAGACCTCGGCGCCGGGGTGCTTGGTGACGGGGAGGGACTCGCCGGTGAGGGCGGACTGGTCGATCTTGAGGGGATCGCCGTCGAGGAGACGGGCGTCGGCGGGGATGATGTCTCCCAGCTTCACGCTTATAATGTCGCCGGGGACCAGAATTGAAGCCTCTTGCTCGCTCCATTTTCCGTCCCTCAGAACCTGCGTTGCGTGCTCATCATATTTATATTAATTAATGCAATTGGTTAAGAATAGCTAAGGGTGTGTTTCTTTAGGGCCTTTCCGAACGAATTTAGATTTGGATTTAATTTTTATTTGCGTTTTGAGATGAATTTGAATTTTGTTATTTCTTTTGTATTTGAGTTTGGTTGAGATTTGGGGTGTTTTTATGTGTATTGATTCGATGGATAATGAATAAAATAATATAAATATGTATTAAATTTAATTGATAAAATTAATATTGTATGATTTGATTATAAATTTATATTATACACAATATATATATTTAAATTTTTATTTATTTGTATTATAAAAAAATTTATTCTCTACAAAATTGACATATATATATATATATTGTATATATGTTTTTCTCCTATAATTATAATAAATACTAAAATTATATTTTAACTTTTTGAAAAAAAAAAAAAAAAGAAAAAAAGAAAGAAACACACCCAGTTTCTTCACCAATCTATTTTTAAGAGGTATAATTCCAATAAATATTATAAAAAAACAATATATATATATTAATATAATTTATTTTCAAATCAAAATTTTTAATATAAAATATTATTTTTTATATTATCCATAAAAAAACTTCATATTAGACTTTATGGTCACCGTGTCATTTTTTACTGAATTTTTTTTTTTATCTATATTTTCATTTTATGCAAATTAAGTGTAGGTTTAAATTCATTTATAATGTATAATAGGATCAAATTTATTAAAAATAAAATATAAATTTTATGTAGAATATATATTCAAGAAGAATATTATGTTTAAAAAACGTTATATTCAAGAATATTTTTGAATATATAATACCACGTCAAATAATATTATGTGTTGAGCCAAATAATTGTTTTTTATATAAAAAGTGTAAAACATCTAACACACTTTAAAATATTTACAGTATTTATTTTTTATTTAATTTTGAATATTTTCAAAATTATCCAAAATTCTACTACACCTTTCTAAATAAATTTAACTATTATAAATGCACAAAGGCTCTGTTTGATATACTTGGTTATTATTATTATTATTATTTTATTATTATTATACATTTTTTTCGTTTTAAAAAATATATATTTATATAAATGTATATAAAGAGTGCAAAAATATCGAATTTTCGAAATACTATACATACTATACAGAAAAAAAGTATTAAAATTTTGGAATACCAAAAAGTTATGTTATAGTAACTATATATAGTTTGATATTTTCAACATATACAAAAATATTATTTTGATGTTTTGGTATTCGATTGGTATATGAATACCAAACTCAATATTTTTTTCTAAAGTTACAAAAGAAATTTGAATCTCGATTTAAAATAGTATATATTAATATTGTACAAGTAGAGGTTTGGATTTTGAGTTGGGATTTGAATAGTAAAATTTTGAATTTGAATAGTTATATGATGTGATATTAATAGGGTTGATGTGATGTTTTGAATATAAAATTGATTTTTAGTATAATATAAAAAATAAAAAATAGATTTTTGATTTGATGTTTTTGGGAGAAAAAAATTGAATGAATAGTAAATTTAAAATCCAAACCCCCAGACAAACACCTATATCGAATTATTGATACGGTATTATATATGTCATACTATTTTTTAGTATATCAAATTTTTGTTACGATAATTTATATATTTTTTTGTCAATAAAAAAAATGATACAATATACGGTATAATATGATAATTCCGATATACATACCTTGGTTTTGGGGGCAAGGCCAGCCATAAGGGCTGCGGCCGCATTTCCGGCATTGTTTTCTTCGATGAAGCTAATCGTAGAGTTAACCAAAAGGAGCACGACGATCCCAACAAAATCTTGCCAATCCGTAGGCTTGCCCTGAATTCATTCGTTAATTTTTTCGCAATTCACATTGTCGATTAATTATTTTTATTATAAATAATAAATGAATTCTACTTAATTTGTGTATACGTACCCCTCCATTAGCCAAGGCAATGGCCATAATGGCGGCGACCTCCATCACCCACGACAACGGATTCCACATAAATCCTAAGAACTTTAGCACTTTGCTCTCCTTCTTTTCCTCCAATTTGTTGGGCCCGAAGATCCCCAACCTCTTCATCCCCTCCTCGGACGTTAGCCCATTCCGAGAGCATTTTAGCTGTTGGAATACTTCTTCGATCGGCAAACTTTCCTATAAGCAAGACATACAAAGATATATTAACATATATATATATATATTTGGAGCGAGATGAAGATAGCAACACTTACTAAATCGACCGTTTCATTCTTTATCTCTTCTAGGGATATCTCGGACGCCATTATTATTGAATTTCTTCTTTCTTTCTTTCTATCTCTAGATATTAGTTATTTTTTATTAATATATATAATTTTTTATTTTATGGGGGGCTAGATTAATTTTATAAATTGCGCTCTCCTCTTCATCTGATCCGGCTAATATTATATCTAAAGTAGGAAAGAGGACTCCCTCTGGTTATAGCAAAATGAAATAATAATAATCCCCCTCTCCCATGCAGATACCTAACCTAAATCAACACATTACTTACTTTCTTGCACAGATTAGAGGTTTGGGAATCATCCATTGCCTTTCTATTTATAGCCTTAAATTGCCCTTCTCTCGTCAATCAATCGATTTACTATTTACTATATTTAGTTTGGTTCCGTAACGTCTTCTCTCTACAATACCGACCTGCCTCATGATAGCATAATATTCGCATCTCTTTAATTAATTCATCTTTGAACTTTTCTTTCGGAATAACCAAATCAATAATATTGTTTTATGTGCTCTAAGTGTTTATCTGTCATATTTTATACAATATTGAAAAGCTTTTAAAATTAGTTTGGGATTATAAAATTTTAATTAACTAAAAGCTATCGATATTGAGAATTTTTATTTTTTTTATTTTTTTTAAAAATAAATTTTAAATTTAAATAAAGTTTTTATTTATAATTAATGAGCATATATATATCTTATATAAAAGTTTGTACGAACTTGCACATGAACAACAACAAACAAAGACAGTAAAATTTGAACATGAGATTTATTTTAATGGTATAAAAAGTCTAGTATTCGAATTCCACTACTTTCGGTGTTGGAAGCGATAGTGAGGTCTAGGAAGAGAGTAGAGGATAAGTGAGGTTCGGATTGAATTAAATAGAAATTTACTACATCCAAGTTCCGAAATTAATTTAGTAGAATCAAGCTCGACTATGCCATTCGACAATGGTACGCAAACCAAAGTTTATAATCTAAATCGGACGTGTTTGCAGTGAGAGGTGGCGAGCCTCTCTGAACTGGTGAACCACATAGGTTGATGCTTAAGGAGCCCGGGATAGTTTTCTATTTGAACAATTGTGTTCTTCTTACACTACAAGAAAAAATTATTTTTGTAAGAAAATATTTTTTTTCTCTAAATCTATTTTTTTCGTCACCAATGACATCAGAGACGGAATTAGGAATAGAATTACGTTAGCTACGTGAACTTTAGAGACGGAATTTCGTTACAAATATATATATATATTTTTGTAGTGTTACAAATTTAACTTTTTAAGTGAAACATCATTTATCACAATCTAACAAAATCATTTCATATATATTCATTATATATTTATATGTAAATATTCATTATATAAATTAATTGAATTCAAAAGTTTATTATTATTATTATTAATATTAAAAATTGATCTGAACAAGCATCCTATGCTATTTAAATATAGTTTTATTTTTGTTAGACGAATGAATTATCATAGCATATTTTATAGTGTCAATTAATTTTATTTTAACAAATTAATTTAGTTCACTCGGTGAACTTACTTATACAGTTTTTAAAAAGTTTTATTTTATTTAATATATAAATGCATTAAAAAATTATTATATCTAATATTTTTTATTTAAAAATTATAAAACTATTTTATGTAAAAATTATTTGTATTTCTCAATAAATTATTATTTTAAAAAATTTTAAAAATATATATTATACTTTAGTAATTGGATTTTATCTCAATACATTACAACACTTTTATAGTGAAATGATGGAAAATTTGATTTGAAATTGACCACTTAATTTCCATTTTGAGAATATTTACAATATTTCTAGAATATGTAGAATTTACACATTAATTTCAATTAATTTGATTTTGATCTTTCTCTCTAATTATATATATATATATATTACTTATTTATTAAGGGTAGGTTTTACTATACATATTGAGATGGATAATATTATTTTATAAGAATGGATCTGGTGCTGAATGAAGTAAAAAATAATGATCATAATTTTTGTCATTAAATAAGACTCTCTTTGTCCCAAAACTATAGTTTGGGTTGTGTTTGACACGGAATTTAATGAATATTGATATTATATTGGTAGTGGGTAAATAGTACAGGTAAAAGACTTTTTTGCCATTGTGAGTATATTAGTGTAAAAATAGTGGCAATCGTATAATAATAATGAAAAAGTAAAGATAATTTTATAGTGATATGGTTATTAATGAAAATGAGACTATTGTTTTTGGACGGACAAAAATGGTAAACAGGACTATAGTATTGGAACGGAAAGAGTACAATTAATGTAATTATGATAATGTGTTTTTAACCATCAGCATTGATGCGGATCCACGTTGTTATTTTATTTGTCTCGGTAATCTTTCGTTTACTTTAATGAATTGAAGTCCGAAATAATTATGAGTTCGTTACAATAGTAGCATTTTGTAGGATTATTACTATAATTTCTCTTCGGAGATTATTTTACATAAATATGATAATGTTTTTTTTTTTAATATTTATGTAAAATGTACTTTGAAATATAATTTGATTTCTTTATAAACATTGTATATATAATATAATTTGATTGAATGTTTAATCAATTAAAGTAAATATCATATTATTTAATTTCATAATTATATAATTTGATTTCTTTAAAAACATTGTATATATAATATAATTTGATTGAATGTTTAATCAATTAAAGTAAATACCATATTATCTCATTTCATAATTATATAATTTATTGAAATAATACTATATATTATAATACAATCATTTAAAATACACGCTTGTGTTTACTTGTGAGGTTTTAGTTTTGGATTTTAATTTTGAATAGTAAAATTTTGAATTGAAATAGTTGTTTGATGTGATATAAATATGCGTTGATGTGATGTTTTGAATGTAAAACTAAATTTTAGTGTAATAAAATAAATAAAAATTTGGTGTTTGATTTGATATTTTTGAAGAAAAAAAAATTGGAATAGTAAAATCAGGCGTAAAACCTGACAAGTAAACACAATATTTAATAGATTATTCAATAATAATAGTGGTTTTCTTACTAAGAATAAATTTATAATTTTAAATTACAATTCTTGATTTTTGCTTGTGTTTTATTGTCTTAGAAATTGAAATTGTATTTGTTATTGTTATTAACAATCGATTTGTTTGTGACAAATAATTGTTATCATTCTTTAATTTAATATGTTGATTATTATGCTGTGTTTGATGAAATCAAAATACTATTATTAAATTAGTACGATTTTTAATAAAAATATTTTTTTTATTTTACAATGCTTTGCAGCACTATGCTAATTTGTCTCGATCAGCAGAGTAACGGAAACGATATATATATATACATATGTGTCAGTGCTTTACAGAATGAATGGATTTTTTTTACAGACTTCTAAAATTCAAACATTTAAGTGTAAACTATTTTTTTAATCTTGTATCTAACCTCTTTTTATCATTTTAGGACTTTAAGTAAATCATGTTTGAAAATAGTCCAGTGAGTAAAAAAATTTCGCTAAAATGGTCCTCCGGTGCCGGATTCGCCATGTTGGCCGATGTTGCTAACGTAACATTGACGCGACTGACATGTCATCGCCACGTCAACGACACGTGAAATTTTTTTTTTTTTTATTTTACAAAATCTCTTGGTAAACTATTCTTTTAGCATTGTATGTGATCTCATTTATCATTTTCAGGATATTTAAATGAATTCTGTCTGAAAATAGTCCTACAACTAAAATATTTTCACTAATATGGTCATCCGACGTGACATCTACGTGGCGATGACATGTCGGCCGCGTCAGCGCCATGTCGGCAATGAATGGCCAACATAGTGAGTCCGGCACCGGAGGACTATTTTAACAAAAAAAATTTACTTACGAAACTATTTTCACACATGATCCACTTAAAAACATAAAATGATAAAAAAGATGATACATGAGACTAAAAGAATAATTTACCCAATGTTTTCTGGGTGTAAAGGCCGAAAAACAGAGGCACCGGAAGATGGTCTCATGCAGTAGAGCACGTCGCAAGCCATTTTTTGTGTAGTCTGGTTGTTACAAAAGTATTTTTTTTATTAAAAATAAATATTTAATTGAACCTTCTTTCTTACTTTTATGGAAGATCATTGTGTATAATTATTATTATTTTTTTTTTTCAGAATCGAGTCAGAAAAATAAACCTGGACATATGATAAAGTAGAAGATTTGTAATGAATTACCATTGTGATTGCTCTTAGGGTGTGTTGGTTTGGGTGTTTGGATTTTGAGTTGGATTTGAATGGTAAAAATTTTGAATTTGAATAGTTGTATAATGTAATATAAATAGGTGTTGATGTGATGTTTTGAATGTAAAATTGATTTTTAGTATAATACTCTCTCCGTCCCATAATAAAGTATCTATTTTTCCATTTTAGTCCCTCCTATAACAAAGTATCTATTTCCTTTTTTTTTAGTAATTGTACTGTCTACTTAACATTACAAATACTCTTACAACTTACAATATATTACACAAATGTCATTACTTTTATATCACACGTACTAACAAGGTTATTTTAGTTATTTCTACTTTATTCCTACTATATCCCAATATAATACTAATATTTTTAAAACTACGTGTAAAAAAACTGAATACTTCTTTTTGGGACGGAGGGAGGGAGTATAAAAAATAAAAAATAGATGTTTGATTTGATATTTTTCTTTAAAAAAAAATAAAATGAATAGTACATTTAAAATCTAATGGAAACGCATATGGAAACGCATAGTACCAATCATATAAATAGATCTGCAGTGAAATTTGGCTGATAACTATGGATGGGTAGGCGGGGCCTTGGGGGCAATTGACCGGCCAACCCTCAAATTTATTTTTTATAGTTTAAAATAAATAAAAATTGTATAAATATATTATTTTGCTTTTCAAAAATTTAAATTTATTATATATTTGCTATTATTTTTAAATTCAATTTATATTAATTTAATAATTTTAATTATATTTTATTTATATAAAAATATAACTTTTTATTCTAAATATAATTACAGTTATTTATTTGTATTATCTTCTGGTATTAAGAAAAATTGAAGAAAATAAGATTAAAGTGATATATAAGACAATTTGGCTAACATGTTTTTATCAATTTTTAAAATTTTTATTAAAAAAAAATTAAATTGTCTATTTGAATAAAAAAAATTTAAAAAAATTCGATAATTCACAGTTTAAAATATATTAAAATCAAAATCGAACCAAAAAAACTTAATACTTACTAGATAACTTCGTCTCGTAACTTCGGAAGCTAGTTCTCTCCCTGCTGATAACCCATTTCAATTGATAACGGCCTGGCTTGGAAACCTCAACTTCATCAATAATAAGAGGATCATTTGGGTGTGTCTGTTTAGGAGATTGGATTTTAAATATACTATTTATCTCATTTTATTTTTTTCTAAAAAAATATCATATCAAACATTTATTTTTTATTTTTTATATTATATTAAAAATCAATTTATATTCAAAAACATCACATTAATATTTATTTATATCACATCATACAACTATTTAAATTTAAAATTTTTACTATTTAAATATCAAGTCAAAATTCAAAACGCCAAACAAATCGACAATAAACAAAAATAAAATCGTAAAGCCACATGGCCCAATTAATGCACTCTCATCTTTTTTCTTTTTTTTTTTTTTTTTTTTCTGTTTTTTCTTTTTCCCTTTTTCTCATCTGTCGTAATCGCAAGCTCACAAAGACCATCCTCCGATCTAGTAGCATTTCATCTCAGACCGACCATGCTAGCGCAGCTGCATTCCCAACATTATTTAAATTAATATTAAAAATATGTTATTTTCTCCATCAAAATTATGTAGTGTTAGTAGGCCTGTCAAAAATTAACCTGACACGATAATTCGATACGATCCGACGCAAAATAATTGAATTTTGATCAAAGATTTCAATCCGATTATATATACGGGTTGACACGAACCCGACACGATAGTAAACGGGTCGGGTTAGGGTTGAGGCTTTCAACTCGAACTCGATACGACAACCCGATTATAATATATTAATATTGATTAATATATTTATTATATATATAAAATAATCATAATTTAATAATTTTCTCATAAATTAATTTAAACTAAATTCAATTTTAAAAAAATCAACCTAATTTAAGTTCAAACCAATAAAAACTAACATGACATGACAACATAACAAAAAATTATTTAATATGAATTAAGAAATTCGACTTAATTATGTATACTGATCAACACGAGTCAACCAGAACCCGACACGATAATAAACGAGTCAGATTATAGTTAAATAATTTAACTCGTTTAAAATATTTAACCCCACACGAATCGACCCATTGCCAGCCTTAAATGTTACTCGTAACACTTATGTTAGCAAAATAAATAAATGAAATAAAAAATAAAGAAGAAAGTAGACATGTGATGGTTCTATTTAGAAAATAAACTTCTAAAATTTTAGAATTAAAAAATAATACTAAAAATAAAAACAAATACTGCATTCGCTTTGCTTGCATCATTGTATTTAATATTAAAAATATTTTTATATGTATACTTGATTTCACAAATGTTATTGTATTTTTTATAAAAATGTAAAAAATTCATGCTACTCTTTTTATAGGAGGCAGGATGTATTTAATTTAAATATTTCAAAAAAAAAAAATTCATAACTATTCAATAATAGTATATTTTTGATAAAAAAATAATGCAAAACCTATACATTAAAGAAAAATGAATCAGTGTAAATAGTTTTTAAAACATATTTCCTTGTCATTCAATTATGTATTTATTTGATCGAATACAAATTTAAAAAAATAATAATAAAAAATAAAACTAAAAAAATTTCACTTTATAAGGTAAAAAAATATAGAAAAAAGTGATATTTTTTTTAACAAAAAAAAAGTTAAATTTAACGCAGGCTTAAATTGAATTAGTTACCTCTTGTTGTAAGTGTCCAGTTATGATCATAGCTTATTGCCCAGAAAAAGTATCCCCTGAGGCCAAGTCTCCGGGCATACCGAGCTTTTACAGTGACGACCATGGCGTCGTCGTACCCGACCCACGATGTCCCCGCCACCGAATATGCCGACACTGTCTCTCTGTCGTACGCCACCTTCGCTTTCTCCTCCCTATTGAACCTCACCACCTCCGCATACGTCAGCACGCCCCCTTCCCCGGGGCCAACGCCGACCGCCGGAGCCCCGACGCCGTCGTCACTCCGGTCCCTCAGTCGCCACGTCCTGCCGTACAACGGCAGCCCCATAATTATCTTGCTCTTCGGGACCCCGACCCGGATCCACGATCCGAGCCCGAAACTGGTACTCAGATTGCTTCTCGGGTCGAACAGTGCCGCGTGGGCGCCAGTCGCCGCCGTGTCCCACGCGCCGCGGTAGTCGTAGTTCATCACGTTGATCCAGTCCAGGTTCCGTACGATCGAATCCACCGGGTACGCACGCGCCGCGCCGGAGAGAAAAGCGTCGGCGGAGTAGTACACGGCGGCGGTGAGCAGCAGCGGCGGCCGCCGCCCGCCGCCGTCTTTTTCTACCTCGACGCGCCACTCCTGGAGGAGGAGGCCGAGATTGCGCATGTCGCCGGAGTCCTCCGGGAACTCCCAGTCGAGGTCGACGCCGTCGAAGCCGAAGCGGCGGGCGGTCTGGATGCTGGACCGAATGAAGGCGGCGCGTGAGGACGACGTGGAGGCCATGCGGGAGAAGAGCGCCGCCCCCTCGGAGGCCCCGCCGACGGAGAACAGCGCCTTGACGCGGCGGCGCGACGCGTGGACGGCGGCGGTGAAATTTGTGAGGAGGAGCTGAGTGTCGGCGGGGATGTTGAATTGGAAGGAGACGGCGTCGGGGGAGAGGAAGGCGTAGTAAAGGTGGGTGAAGAGGTGAGTTTTAATGGCGGAAGGAGGGAAGGAAGATTGAGCCCATGAAGGGTAGTAGCCTCCTCTGATTGAATTTGCAGAGGCAATCGTAAATGTTGTGTAGATGGTGATGATCATTGTTAAAAATGATTTTTCCGCCATTTTTGTTTTGCTGTGGAGCTGATTCAAGAGATGGGATGAATATATATATATATATTTGTGTGTATGTATATATATGTCAGGCAGGGAAGAGGGAAGACTTGTAAATTAAGTGGAGTCAAAATGGATAAATTAAGTGGAGTCAAAATGGATATTATTTGCAAATATATATATATACCTATTTGATATTTGAAATGAAAAAACAAATACTCAAAGTTGCGAATTGCATTCGGACGAAATTTTCTGTTCATCTAGTATCTTTGCATTATTTACAAATAACTCGAATCGAAATTAAAAAAAAAAATAGTATTAAAAATAATTAAAATTTTAATTAAAAAAATATTTATAAATATTTCAAATATTCAAATTAAAACCGAAAATATAATTATTAATATAAAATTTAAAAGTAATAATATAAATATATGAATATACTTGATTCGGTTAACTGAACCGAAAATAATATGAAAAATCAAAACTGAACCGAACAAATATCAAAGCAGTATTTGTATTCGAATCGAATTTGGCGATTGATTTTTTTTTGTGTTTGTTAGTAAAATTTATTATGCGAATTTTATTTTATTATTTTTTCCAAATATGACATTGTCTATCAAGGGTTCGAATCTTCGATATAAAAGTCAAATGATAAGTTAGACCGTACGCAATGGATATATCCATTTCTTTAGTACTTTCATTATATTTTACTTCCTCTTTAGTCCAATTACGTGCTAGAATATTTTTACATAAGTTTAATAAAGATTGTAATAATTATTCTTTTTTGTCTTTTATAATTTTTTTTTTTTTTTTTTTTGTCTTTTATAATAAAGATTGTGCTCATTTGACCGGGTATAAATTTTAATAAAAGTGAGTAATAATAATTATTTTTTTATAGTAAAAAAAATATAAAAATGTAATAATTTTTTACGAGAATATTTTTCAATGACAACCCCAAAAAAAAAAGTGAGCATAGATTTGAATAAGGAGTAATAAAGTTAAAAATATGAATATATATTTGAATACGGAGTATCATCACATTCTCTTTATACATCATTTTTCTTTCTTTTATATTGAAAAATAGAATCGTAGCAATTTTTTATTTATTTTTATTATTGTATTATTATGATATATAATTTTTGGAACTAAAATTTAAAAAATATTAATATTATATTAATAGTTTGTATAAAGTATTAGTTGAAAAACATTTTTGTCTTATATATAAATATGTTTTAGTTTAAATATAAAAAACATTAATATTTACACTATTATATTAATAATAATAATATACAAATAATTTTCCGATAATATTAGTATTTATAAAAATGAAACTATTTTTTTGAAACATATAAAAATAATATAATATAGATATTATTATGAAAGTGAGGTAGGGAGTATATATATTATTATTTTTAAGTCATAATTTTTTATTTTATAATTAATAAATAATAAATTAATAGTACTTATTATTTCTTGCCAATAATTAATGTATTAATGAATAATTAATTTTTTTTATATTATCTATTATTTAGTTAGATTTTATTTTACTTTTGAAATTTTATTAACGAAATACATTTTGAGTGTTGTAATTTTATTATTATAATTATTATTTGTTTGGGAAAAAAAAAATTATATAATAACTGAACTTTTCAAATGAAAATATATTATAAATAGAATAGAAATATTTAAATTAAAATAAAAAGAAATAACTTAATTATTCATAGAATTAAATTCGCATCCTATTCTTTAGGAACTTAATTATTAGGCTGTGTATGTCTACATAATATTGTTAACTTGAGCTGCAATATTATCTACTCAATATGTTCAAATTGAGATACATTATAATAATATATATATATATATATTCTTATGTATTTCTTTCTTCACTCCCTCCGTCTCAATATAATAGTCTTATTTATCATTTTTGTCTGTCTTAAAACAATAGTTTTATTTTCATAAATAATCATATCATCGTAAAACTACCCCTATTTTTTCATTTTAATTACATAATTGCCACTCTTTTTTACACTACTACACTCATAAGGGCAAAACAGTCTTTTATTTAAATTTTTTTACCAACTGTAAATATAATATCAATATTCTTTAAATCTCTTGTCCAACCCAATTAAGATTATAGTTCTGGGATGGAGGGAGTACAATATAATGTACTTCATCCGTTCTAATACAATAGTCTTGTTTATCATTTTTTTTTCGTCCCAAAACAATAGTCTTATTTCCATAAATAACCATGTCACCATAAAATTACCCTTGCTTTTTCATTATTACACAATTGCCGCTAATTTTTACACTCATACACTCATAAGGGCAAAAAAATCTTTTATCTGTATTTTTTACCCCCTACCAATATAATATCAATATTTTTTAAATATCGTGTTAAATACAACCCAGACTATAGTTCTGGAACGGAGGGAGTATGTTTTATAGTCTTACCGGTGTGTTTGGTTGTGGTTTAGATTTTGAGTTTGAGTTTGAGTTTTAAATAATAAAAAATAATAATAATAATAAATTGAATTTGTATAATTGTATATTGTAATATAAATAGATTTTAATGTGATATTTAGAATGTAAAATTAATTTTAATATAATATAAAAATAAAATAAATGTCCGAATTGATATTTTTAAAGAAAAAAAAATTATTAATAATAAAATTTTATCAAAATCCTCCAACCAAATGAATAATGGAACATTGCTTGTAAAAACGTATGATATATATATATATTATTTCAAGGAACTTTTTGATTTTGTGCAAATAATTGCATTTTAGATCCTTAAGTTAAGACAAATAGATCAGAAAAATATCATCCATAAAAGATACTTCCACTGTCCCATAAATATATTCTTAATTGTGTTGATCACAAAATTTAAAGAATATTGATATTATATCGGTAGTTGGTAAAAAGTATGGATAAAAAACTTTTTTGCTCTGGTGAGTGTATTAGTGTAAAAAATAGTGATAATTGTGTAATAAAAATGAAAAAAAAAAATATAGATAATTTTATGGTGATATGATTATTTATGGAAATAAGATTATTGTTTTGGGACGGACAAAAATAATAAACAAAACTATTGTATTGGAACGAATGAAATATATTTTATCTGTAAGATAATATCTCAAATTATACTATTAATGATTATTGACAATAAAACTTACTTATAGACTTCTACAATTCAAAAGTTCATTAAACCTAATTGAAATCAAATTTTTAATTGATTTTACCAAATAATTTAATTGATTTTAATTTGCTTGTAATAATATATTGATTGGCATTTGCATAACATCTATATATGTATTTTATTATAAATACAAAAATATTTTATATTTTCTTTATTGCATAAAATTTTCTTATATTATATTGAAGTAAGTACGAAACACTTATATAATTCGTAAATACATGTCTAATTATGCAAATATTATGTAAATAAATTGGATGAAATATTTTAAATATAATTATTTGAATAAAATAAATAAATAATACTCCTTCCGTCCACTTACAAAGTTTACATTTACTTTTGGCCCGGTGTTTAAGAAATAATAGTATTTTAATTACAGTGAGTAGTTAAAAGTAGTGTAATGACATTTTTGCCCTTATTTTTTTGTGTAAAAGTAATGATGTGATGTAAAGTAATGGTATTTGTGGAAAAAAAAAATAGGGTATTTAATGAAATATTAACTTTGTAATTGGACGTCCCAAATAAAAATATGTAAACATAAACATTGTAAGTGGAGGAAGAGAGTAAAAATTATCTAACCATTTATGTCATATTATAAAAATTAAATTATGACCCGTTTTTATTAAAAAAATTGTGAAAATGAAAGACTATCAATTTTTATTTATTTATATTATTCAAATAATTATATTTGAAATATTTCAACTAATTTTTCTACTTGTATATTTAGATATGTATTTACAAACAATATTAGTATTTGGATAGAGAATATAGTTAGTGCTTACTTTGATATGACAATGAAAAATTAATGTAATAATAAAACACTAGATATTATATATATATATATATATATTTAATAAAATACACATAGATATTATACTTTCAATACAATAATCTGTTTATCAGTTTTGTATGTCCCAAAACAATAGTCTCGTTTTCATAAATAATCATATCACTATAAAACTATTCTTACTTTTTCATTATTATTACATAATTGTCACTACTTTTTACACTAATACACTCACAAGGGCAATAAAGTCTTTTACCGTACTTTTTACCCACTACCAATATAATACTTCATCCGTCTCATAACAAAGTATTCATTTTTTCATTTTAGTCCGTCTCATAACATAGTCCGTCTCATAACAAAGTATTCATTTCTTTTTTTTTTAGTAACTGTACTATCTACCTAATATTACAAATACCCTTACAATTTACAATATATTACACAAATATCATTACCTTTATATCGCACCATACTAATAAGGTTATTTTAGTCATTTCTATTTTATTCTTACTACATCCTAATATAATACTAATATTTCTAAAATTACGTGCAAAAAGCAAATAAATATCTAATTATAAGACGAAGGAAGTATCAATATTCTTTAAATCACGTGTTAAAAATAATTCAAACTATAATTCCGGTACAGAGGGAGTATAATTTACCATAAATTAATAAAAATGTGGTGCTTTACATTTATTAATAAAAAAGGAATTAGATTAGCATGTGCGCACTAGTACTAGTGTTAAAAACATGTGACCCAAAATTATTTGACTTTTAAATTAAAAGTAAATAAATACAAAAGAATTCTTCGCCGTTAGTGCGTTGAACTTTTCAAAGGTTTGGGATTTGTTTGGTGTGTGAGAATTCCCTTACATATTTTTTTTATATATAATTTTATATTTTTATATTAGTTGTACAATTTTTTTTTACTTCTCAATTAAAAATAAAAGAAATTCAAACCAAAAAACAAAATAAACAAACCCTTGTTTTTTTTTTTTTATAGCAATTATTTTTACGAAGAATTACTCAATCTTCCAATACAATAGTTTTGTTTATGATTTTTGTTCGTCCCAAAATAATAGTTTCATTTCTATAA